GTATCTATCGTCACTAGAGCAAGGTCTCTTTTGGTCTACAAGTTTTGCCCAAGGGGTTACTCCAAATGAGTACATTAACAGCATTACAGTTCAAGTGCATAAACTGGTTTTTTATTCTTGTATGCAACTAGAATCTATTTTCAATATGTCATTTATGGACAGTTTTTAAATGTTAATAAAAATAATTTTAATAGTACGGGATTCCCATTACGTATTCACAGAAATCACTAGAAAGCCTTTCCTAAAAGAAGTATCAGGTTTAGGAGAGTCTTTATAAAATTACATGCTGAAAAAAAAATGTCTTCCCACTGAAAAAGCTGTAATAAGTTAAGTAAAGGCATGCAAAAGTTAACGTTGTATTTCTATCCTGAAATACATGGGACTAACTTCATCCTAGTCTCTATCATAAATTGCTCCAAAATTCCCTTGTTTAGTGGGAAGAAGCTGAATAATTCACAACAAAACCAGGAAAATTAATGTAAGACTGAACTAAATATCATTCACTTCTAGATATTATTGTAATGGACAAATTCAGACACCAAATTATTTTTTAAAAAATAAGATCTTTTTAAGATGTCTTTTTTTTTTTTCTCCTGCAATTTGGTGATTCAAATGTTTCTGATCAGAGTTAGTCAACCACTTATCACTACTATTCTTTGTCAATCATTAATTAACCAGCTTTTAAGTTAAAGGAATTCATAATTATATACTTGTTTTATAGCCTTGTTCTGATGATTTATCTTTGAAAATAAAGATTACAGGCCTATGAGGTCTCCTCCTGTATATTACGCTAAAGGTTTTTCACAGCCAGTTCACATGCCCTTCAAATATCTTTCAGAAGAAGAGGAAATTTTTTAATCAATTGTCATCTTGAAGTATTCAGGCTAGCACAAAAGTGATGGGCAAAATCGATTTCAACTTTAATGTTTTCTTTGTTGACTCTTTTTTAGTTGAAGAAAACATTCCGTTTCAAAACAAGTATTTCAAATGAATATTTCCAGTCTTCTCTTGCTCTAGCCCATTTCCCACCTTGTCTAGAAGTGCAACAACTGAAATAAGTTATGGGAGGGTGGGAAAAGTCCTACCATTTGATAAATTTGCATTGATCTCTTTGAAAAACTTGGACTTTTGTAGGTAAAACAACTTTCCATCATAGTAAGTACAGGGTGGATTCATCAGTACCGTGGCCATTCCTTGGTCCTTGTCATCTAAGGACTCCTTTTTAAAAACAGTTGGATTTCCTCAGCGCCAGTACTTTTAAACTGATAACTTACTCCAAGTGAAGAAAAACATGTTAACTTATTTGGCTGATGGAATCTGAGAGTCATTTTAACTCCTGACAATGGGTCTTCATGCGATTCAAATTTTTGAAAATACAAAAATATTTTCCTGATATTATGATATGCCCTTATTTGAACCTGTATGCAATACAGTTGAGACTGGTGTGACTAGCAAGTACCAAGCAGTGAGTAACGCTGCTTTGATTAGTTTAATTTCTTATGACTCAGTCTAATCAGCACGGTATTGTTCCCATTACAGAGTTATATTCACTTGTTTTATGGAAGCTATGTGTAACTGTGTTACATTCGTGTTCTTCTAGTGCACATGTCCCTTATTTGGTTTCTCAAACAGTATTTGTGACCCAATCTCTGTTTTCAAAATTTTGTGCCATTTTTCAAAGAATGCACAAAAACAGTGAGCTTCATGAATCAATTTAGTTGGAAGGAAAGCCATGTTCTCCTGGGAATATATTGTTCTTGGCTTTCCCAAATGCGTTCCCTCTTTTGATTTCATTTTATGAGAGCTTAAAGAGGGGTTGTAATGTTCTTTCCCCAGTGATTCTCCAGGTCTGGACAACCTTAAAAGATGTATGACATGAATTCTTGTTTTCTTTTTGAAAGTTTGAGAGGAATTGGGGGACAGAGGGGGACCCTAAGTTACATGATAGTCAGAAATATTTAATTTACAGAATCATGAATGTGCACTACTGGTAGAACCTTATTCTGTATTGAGAAGGCAAATGTCTTGTCAGAAAGGTGCTTATGGTTTTGCCATTTGTACTGATACTAATTCACCTATTTCTTTTCTATTTTTTCTAGAAACATTGCAAATATTTTAATATTTACTCTGATCATTATGAGAAAAAAGTTTTGCTGGTACAGTATAGCTGAAATGTGTGAAATTTTCTCTATGTCACCAGAAGGCAGGAGATAATTTTCTGCATGAGGTATACAAAGAAGAGATCTTTTTACCTGGAGTATCTGTAAAAGCAAACCTTCTGATCTAATCAAGTCTTTCACAGATTTATACTTTTCATCTTCATAATTGAGACCTAAACAAATCTGTCCTAAGTTCCACCTTTTCTCTAGTTTCTACCTTTGTAGCTAAATTCTTTATACACAGTTTAAAAATTTTTAGTCTTCCTTTATCTATCCATCTACATTTGCCATATCTCTGAAGGACATCAGGCTTTTTTCTGTTGACCGTGTAAGTTAACAATATCGACCCAAACTTACTCATTATAAAACACAGATAATTTATATTAATCAAGCCATATTAGGGTTCAAGTTGATTGTTTATCTGGTTTGCTGATGGTACTTCTTTTGTGTCATAGGAGATCTCATGTTTTTACAATGCTAGTCTGGCAGTAAGAAGCAAAGCTGAGATGTTCTATCCTGGATGAACTGTGAATGAGAACCTATTAAACAATAAAGCTTGATACGCATATGGAACAGAGACATAATCTATGGATTAATAAAAGGAGTACAAAATAACATTTTTCTTTTTCTTGATTTAACACCAATGTGAAACAGCCAGTGACATGATGTGATGAAATAACCATTAATCAATATTTTTTAGAGCTATTCTATGAGGATGTTTAGCTGCTAAAAAAAATGGACAATGAAAAAAGATACTAGAAGAGTGGTTCAATGTTTTCAGAGTGGAAAATCAATAACAGGCAGAAAAGTCGACACCTTTAATACTGCATCACAAAGATAGCATGATAGATCATTATCTTGGCATGATAAACTCCAGTGTCAGTAAAGTTTGTATTTGCAAAATAAGAAGGATAGTTTTTTGTCGCTGTTGTTGCAGTGCTATCTTTATCCATTTTGCTCACATAGACACCGTTTTAATTTCCTTAATTCAAAAGAGAATTGTTTGAATATTATCTAGCATTTTGCAATGGATTTTACTGTCTTATCTCCCGTTTATCTTTGTCAGCTTTGCCAAATATTTCCTGAGAGGGTTAGGGGGTTTTCCATTCATAAATCTCCTGCAATCTGCAGGGTCCAAACTTCTGTCTTTTTTTGCATAAACAAAGTGATGTTAACAAGTCAATGGACAAAGACCAGTGCTTTCAATGATTTGACTAGGATGAAGTTGTTAAGTGTGATGCCTTGCTATCTTCTTTCCCAGGCAGATATTTACATGCCAGGGTAACCCAACATAGCACAAAATGAGTAATGCAGAGATTCAGAATAGATATCACCAAGGCTATAAATTTACAGAGAATTCAAAACATTAAACACAGTGAGGGATTATGTACTCTTTCACAAAGAATGATTTCTAAACTGTGACAGTAAATTAATTAATTAGTTCAGGGATTAATACTGTTTGACTAGTTAATAATAATCTCTGGAAAATGCTATGAAAATCCATTGAATGGTACTGTGAGAAGATAAGTGCCATCACTTGAAACTTAAACTGCATGGAGATCAGCCCCTTTAAGCACAAAGTTCAACTCAGTCTGAATATGTCTCCAGTGCGTAGGGTAAAAGGCTTGACAAAATGTAAGGGGTTGTTTGGTGGTTTGGGTTTTTTTTATTTATTTATGTTTAATTTTTCCATATTGTTGTCTTTTACCAGGTGTTTCAGTAGTTACCCAGATTGTGACAGATAACTGCATTGAAGGGAGCCTCAGTTGCCTGTGACTTCTATCTTTTTGCAGCAAGAGACTTTAGACACTAAGTACTACACATATTCTGTTTGCTTAACACTATGCCTCCATAAGATTTTTTTGCTGCTTCTTTTTGGGTGGAACAGGTTAAACATAATGTTCTGCATACAAGCGCAGAACAGCAGAGAGGTTTATGAACAATATGCAAGTGTGAATTCACCCTGGGGTTAGAATATAGCCTTATTTTTGGTACCTATACATAAGAGGGATAAGGAACTAAGGCAAAAGTCTCTTTGAGCAATTGCATAAGTTATACAGGTGTGGATCAACTTTTCAAAATCGTACGGTGATTGTTAGCTGGAATATATGACTTCCTATGCAGGACACTGCTGACAGCAAAGATAATTCTGTGCATATGGGAATAACAGAATATTTATCTCAATTTCCTCCAGATACTGCTCCTACATTTCAATTTTCCACAGTTGTAAACATTGTTAAAGGTTTAACACGTTAAAGTTCTTCCAGAAGAGATTTCTTATGAATCTGAAGTACTTGATTCAATTTCAGGTGATTCCCTTAGTCCAGGAGAAAAATGAGGACAAAAATCAGATGTTGTGTAATAACATATTCCTTGTTAATCTCAGAAAGTTGCGTAAAAGATTTATACTTTGTCTTATGAAAATACCCCCAAAAAAATAGTTGCATATTTTAGAAGTGGCAATTTACTATCTGAACAAGCATCACATCACAGTTAATGTAAGTTTGTATAGAGTATTTCAAGTGCTCTAAGACAGCAATGAAACTTAAAATATAATATGTATTGGAATTTTTATCTTTTTTTTTTGTGACAGCATCCACTAAGTCAAATGCTAGCTATAATGAGGAAGTGATACTCCTTTCTGAAAGTACTTCAAAAATTAAATTAGCAGGCCCTTGCAGAATGGTACTTCACTAGGTAGGCTTACTGAAGCTTTGGGAGCACAAAGAGCACTAGGGAACATTCTGTGCTGCTGATGCTTTTCTCCATTTCCAAGATATCGGAGACTGAACAAATTTCATTCTAGAGTAATTTAAAATCCTCTCCATTATATGCTCCCAGCAAGAAGTTGAACTTGTACGACAAGAAATCTGAGTTGGCAACCTGCAATCCATTACAAAAACAGCAGATCAGTTGCACTTACCCTGGAAAAAGTTGTGGTGGCAGAATTTGTCCCTCAGGTGCACTGGAGGGACTGGTAAGGCATCACGCACCTGTAAACGTGGGTAACTGGAGCTGCTGTAGTTCAGAGAACTGAGGAACAAAGGACAGGTAGAGTCCTCCAGCTGCCCTGGCTATCCCTCGTCAGCATCCCTCTACCTTTCCCCTCAGCACTGCTTAAGTGAAGTCTCTGTATTCTGTGAAATTGCTTCCTATAAAGCATGGGCTTAGCAGAACAGCATCTGTTCAGACTAATAGATTCCGAACAATATCTCAAAGTTTTTTTGGACCAGGCTGACAACTCTTCCAAAGGATTCATAATGGCATCTTTATGTCATCTTACTCATTCTTCAGCAAAACTGCGTCACAGATTTGACCTTACTTTCCTTGTTCTTTGATCCTTGATCAGTTTACATTTAGTAATTTCTTTAAAATTAGAATACATTTAAAAATATATAATTCTGACTTTGTATAAAAGGTCTTATCTATCTGGGTCTGAAATTTCAGCACAAATTAATATAATCCATATCTGCATAACTTATCTGGTATGTTGTTATAAAAAATTAATTCCTAGTGCAAAGTGAAACAATCCTTTTAAATAGTGGCCTTAGGTCATTTGTCTTGTATGATTAGCATTTCCATCTTATTACTAGGATGCGTGGGGAGGAATTACCTGGTTACTTTATATCAAAGCAAATTTTAATTAACTGACGATAGAAATGTTTTTTGCCAAGTTAACAAGTACTTAATATACTATTGTAATTGCATGTCCAATGAACTAATATATATTTATGCTTTATATTTGCATTCAAATGCAAATGAGTATTTATAAAAACATAATCTCAAAGTTCTTTAAGCGTTAAGAGCACATCTAAAAGTAAGCATATTCTTTCTGTTTCTATTTAGTCATCCATGACTCTTTGGAAGATCATGTTTCTGGAGTTGGGGTCAGGTGCCCCCTGGGCTACTTTCCGTGTGGCAATATCACAAAGTGTTTGCCCCAACAACTTCACTGTAACGGTGAGGATGACTGCGGGAATCGGGCCGACGAAGACAACTGTGGTACGTGGTTGAGACTTCTCTTTGTGTCTAGCACCTGCAGTCACTGAAACCCATGCAGTTCTCGCACTAAATGGAGAGCTGCAGAGTGTTAGGAATAAGAAAGTTACACGTTTTGCAGAGGATAGAGCAGGTCTTTGGTTTAGCTAATAGAGCCACCCAACAAGCCATTTGCTAGGAAAGAAGGAAGGACCACATTTTTGTTTGTGTATGGTATCAGTTTATCCAATTTTATCCCTGCTTTGAACTTGTTTGCATGTGTCATCTTGATGTGTACAAATGGACATACGTGATCTAGCAAAGATCTCTGCTGAGGAGAGGTAGATGTATGCACTAACAGAGTTTATATAAAGCTTAATGTGACTTTTAAAGCTGGCTGGGAAACATAATTTAGAAGAATTTTCAAGGTTTTTCAGAAATTGTTCATGTCCTAATTTGGGAGAAAAACCCTGACACTGCGAGTGTGCTGTGCAAGCTGCGCTGCTACGAGGCTTTCGGGTTTGGAAATGTCAAAATTTCAGGGAATACACAGTCAGAGCACTGCTGCCTGTTGTTGTGATCCTTGTCACTCCTGGCTCCAACAGATGGTAGCCATGAACTTGACTTGGTTTGTAGGCTTTTCCCCTGCTGCAAACTGAGTAGGGCCAGGGCACAGGTTTTGCACTGGCACTTACCTGTCCACGCTGCTTATTTGCAAGCATGGCCCCGGCACAGCTTTAGTCTGTGCTGAGCAGCATCTTTCACGCAGTGCCTGGACACAGCTCAGAGGGTGGCACAGAACTGGGATAGTCTGGGAAACGCCTCCCTATATTTTGTGAGGAGAGAGCTTAGCCATTTGTTTGTGAGCTATGACCACAGAGAGATAAAATCGGCCCTAGCGCATTTTATTTACTGGTATTGTTGGCTTACTAACAGCCTGGATAGTTTCAGAGTTACTCTCCAGAGCTGCTGATCCATGGCAGATGGGGAAACTAGACTTCCTATTCCTTAGTAGCTTGCCTGTAACCATGGAGGGCAGCCAGATACATGGTGCCCTGCCTCGCATGCTGCCTCCATCTCCCCAGAGCCAAGCAAGTGAACTGATTGCCTGTCCCAGCCAGGCATGTCATCATCAGAGCTAGGCGGGGGGTTGGGGGTGGGGTTTTTTAAAATATGAAGTGAAACTTCCAAGCTATGTATACTGAAAGAAATTTTCTGAAAAAAATTTCAAACAAAATATGGTAAAGGTATTTTTCACAAGTGTTCTCAGCAAAGTCAATGAGGTTTTGAAAATAGTTGTTCTCATTGTATATCTGTAAAGCTGATTTTTGTACCTATGTGTACTATCTTATTCTTATACCTATCAAATTTCAGCATCTTACTCTATATGAAAGCGACTTTTCATTCTAATCCCATCTAATGGACCTGCAGCTTTTTCTAGTTTTGTGTCACTTGCTGATGCCATAAACATACTTTCCATGGCCAGTAATCAAAATCCTGAACAAAACTGGCTCTTGTTCTATTCTTCTTCTGTAATTATCTTGCCCTACAGTGGCAGAAATTGCTGATGGTGGTGCCCTCTTAAGTTCTCTAACTTCTTAACGTAAGTCCAAGCACCATAAACAGTTGGTTTATACATGTTTCATTTCTGTATAGTACCAGAAAATCTATTGTGCAAGGACTTGCTGAAAGTGTACAGCTTAAACAAATGGCAATTAGGATATACACAGTTTTGTAATGGGATATACAATACAATATAACCTGCAAGACAATTCAGCCGTGATATTGAATCCTCTTCTGGGTATAGTAATTGAAGAATGAGTTAGCTTCAACTTCTGAAAGCCTAAATTACAAAAGACGAGGAGTCGTATTGACTTACTGGGAAACCTACGCTATTAGTGTTTTTCTCATATCTTTACCCCATATTCTCATTCAGAAATGCATGCCATGTATAACACATTAAGGTCATATTCATCAGTAATTTTTTCTCAAAAAAAAAACTGGTGTTGCAGTCAAACTTCGTTGTTAGAATAAAGGAAGAGTTACTTCCCTCCCTGAGAATATGGAATGCCCTTATGAGTTTTTCTGCAACGCCCCTACACTGTAGTAAGTGTGGGGATCTTTGTGGGATAGCTCTGTTTTGTGATGATTTGTCTTGCTTAAAATCCAAGAAAGGAAGCCTCATTGATTAGCTCCCAAGATAAAGAAACTATATGGCTTTTTTTTTTTTTTTTGCTGCAGTTTCCCAGGACCACTTTAGTATGCCTGCCTTATGCCAGCAGTTATAACTGGTTCCTTCTACACATTTTTTAAATTTGCGACTAGTTTTCAGTCAAAGTCATTGCTCCTGGTTACAGAAAAGCAATTCAAAATGAAATCATTCCAGTGTGGTAATTGGTTCATGCAGTACCACTGGAAAATTTAATCTTATCCACAAGGTACTCTTAATTAAGTAGCTCAATTTTTAAATTCTTGCACACTTTCATCTTGCATAAATTTGAATAAGAGCTTTGATGCGACCAGTCTACAATATTCAACCCAACAAGTGTGGGGAGGGAAAAAAAATCAGTGTAGACCCTCAAAGGAATTCAGAAATGCTTTTTTTTTTTTTTTTTTAATGCATGTATCTCAAACGCAGCTAGGTAAAGCAATGGCTTTACTAACAATTTCTTCAGTAATGATAAAGCACTATCTTAAGCCTACAGAAAAATGTTATAGTGAAGACTTGCATATATCTTATGTACAAACCAGTATTATAACATAAGGAAACCCAAAGCAAAAATCTGTCATGGACAGTAGTTCTTTCTGTGATAGAAAGGACAATACTGATGAAGAAGAAAAGGAAAAAATCCCACTTCTTTTGAATACCGTAATACTGCTGTTTGAAAAAAAAAACAGGTACTCATGATAAGAGTTCAATACAAGCCCCTAAGTGTGCTGAATATTAACAGCAACTGCAATTACTGAAATAACACTTTTAAGAAACATCAGTGAATGAAGAAAGCAGAGAAACAACTAGCATAAAAAGCACACGTAGGTCTTCCAAGAGAGTTACTTTGTAAAAGTCTTTAAATGCCCTTGAAACAAAAAGTAAGAGGCATCAGTGCAAAAGAGAGCGTGATAGGAGCCTCTGAAAATACTGAAACTAGTCACTCCAAGGATCTTGTAGCAATTCTGTCCCTTTCCTCTTTTAATGAGTAAAGTTCTCTCTTTCCCCACTTCATTCCTATAGAGATATTTATTGTTGTAATCTTTGAGATTTGCAGAATTAGTCCTATTTCATGCACTGCATGCCCAGTAACAGCAAAGCATGATTATAAATATTTGAAACTAAACCGAATCCTCACTGAGAGATGTGTTTTCAGATGTGCTGTACTCGCCATTCACATCCAACCCAGGCACGTAAAGATTGGCTTCACGGTGTCTTCTTCAAATCTACTTCCTCTTTCGCTTCCACCATGCTCTCCATGTCCGAATAATAAACACAAAACTAAGGCCCAGAGAAGTAAAATGACCTGATATTAGGATCCTAGGCAGAGTTGGGAACAGACCCTGGGTCTCAGGCTGCTGTGTTAGTGCTTAACCTCAGGGTGTGGGCATCCTGCTGGCCAGCTCAACTTCAGGATTTCTTCCACTTCTGGAAAGGGGTGAATTGTAGCCGATATGTCACAGTAGAGTGAAGCCACTTGTCTTTTAAAGCTCGCATGCCTTTGTCACCTAGTTGGGTTTCCAAAACCAATAAAATACTGCGTGTGATATCCTGATGGGGAAGAGCTTGAGGCCGTGTAGTAAACTGCAATAAGAGGAGGAGGCTAGCAATTTCTCACGCCCAAAGTGATGGGAGGCTCTTTTTGAACTATCACTAGATAACCTTAAATGTGCATGGAAAATACAATCTTACCTTTTGAACTTGAAAACATAGTCCATCAAGTAGAAGTGGGTGTCTGCAAATTTGTCATGAATATGATATTTTTAAATAAAAATGATTTATTTAAAGTTTCATAATTTGTCATAAAAGCTTATGGTTTTGAGGACTTTCCTTTTTTATGTTTGAGTATGGCAGCAAATTTTTCTCTGCTGTTCTGCCCTGTGCTCATCTTTTCTGAAGCACCGAGTTCTTAAAAAGGCCAAGTGGATTGTTAAGCAGTTTAGCCTGTATCACATGTTTCACTTGGAGTTATTTTTGTATCTGTTAGCAAAACCCAAAATGTGTGTGGGGAAAAAAAATTGCAATTCCAGCATCCTTCTGTGCCCAAGCTTGATTAAAGCTCAAGTTGGCAAAGCCAAGCGAGTTTGACAGTATTTTGTCCTACTGAGACTATGTTTGATTTCAAACACGATGGCCTCAGCCTGATTTTCCAGGGAAGAGCTTTTCCTGTTTATTTACAGCTGTAAGACTTGATTCTGTGGCTACTTGATGTTTATAGATGGGAGGTTAGAACATTTGTTTACTTCATTGCTTTTTTAAATGTGAGCAGGAAGGATAAATACTGAGCATAATCACAAATTCTGCTCACCTAATGCTATGGCAGTGTTGACATGGGAATTGTTCCTAAAACAGGTAAAGAATATTTCTTACATCGAAGACATTATTGCTGCAATGTTACTGTTAATGTTTTTTAAACACTCTCTAAGCAAAGCCCTTTGAAGCCCAATAGCATAGTAAAAGTGCCAAGTACGTATTCCCAAGTACATATTCATGGAAAGAAGTATTTTGGAATCTCTGCTTTGACAGTGATGCTTAATGATAAACAAAACAAAATTAAAACTAACAACAGTACATAAAAACAACAGTTGATTAATGCAAAACAGAAGTAACAGAACAACAGTATTTGTGATGTAGCTTTTCACTGAGTCCACATGTTTTATTATCTTAAAGTGCCTGTTTTTTAGATGAACAAATTCTGACAGATGTGACAAATTGCAAAAACACATGAAAAGTTAAATCATAACATAAATGTACTCTACAAATTTGGACAGAAGACAAGTAACATTGCCAGTAATCATCTATGGATATTTTTTTT